GAAGAAGACGATTTCTTCGCCCTCAACGGCCGTCTTTCACTGTCAAAAACAGTAGTTTTCCCGACGGTCGGGTTCCATAGTGGACTGGCCCCCCTGTCCTGTGAACTAACGCAACACCCCCCCCCCCCCCCCCCCCCCGCCCCACCCCGCCCAGGAGCAGACGCGCTAGATAGTGAAGAGACGGAACACACGCGGGGGCTTGTTCCTTTCCAATTCATTGACTCTCCAGTTCAGGCGGACCTATAGCCCTTGACTATGCCGTTTTGCTTTACTACTCTGAGTATTATGGTCCACCACAAACAACACTTGCGGTGATTGATTCTATTTTCCTGCGTTCTTTCATCCCTCCCCTCTTCCCGCCCGAATCTTAACTACACAGCTTGGACATTGGCTGGGCTGACTGCTGTGTGAAGAGTTTTGTCGTTGTGAAGTGTAATGTCATTTCACGTTTCCACCGCTTTGCCGCTTTTTTTGGTCGTGGTTCTGCTTGTATCCCTGTTCATAGATCGCTGACTTCATTTTTTTGTCAAAGTAGACTTGCGGACCCTTCGGGTCCATTTAATTTGAGTATACCTTTTTTGGAAAGTTATAGCCTGTGAATCGACCGCGTCAAGGGTTAGATCAGTATGGACAGAGGGAGGTACTGGGTAGAGAGATCGGAACGGTTTGTAGTGTGAAGACAACAACAGAGTTGTAATCGATCTGTGACGTTTGTTGAACGGTGTCGTGTTTTTTTTTTTCTAATCCAGGACGTGGACGAGTTTCTGCTTGTGTTCCTGTCCATAGATCGCTGACTTCATTTTTTTTTGTCAAAGTAGGCTTGCGGACCCTTCGGGTCCACTTTATTTGAGTATATCTTTTTTGGGTAAGTCAAGCGTTAGATCAGTACAGACAGAGGGAGGTAAAGGGAAAGAGATCGGAACGGTTTTAATGTGAACAACAACAGAGTTGTAATCGATCTGTGACGTTTGTTGAAACGGTGTCGTGTTTTTTTTCTTCTAATCCAGGACGTGGACGAGTTTCTGCTTGTGTTCCTGGACCGGTTGGAGACGCAGCTGTCCGGCCTACCTCAGAGACGCCTTCTTCAACATGTCTTCGGGTGAGACAAGCGATAAACATGTTGAGCTCTGCTTCCCTGTCTTGTCTCTTTTTCTTCTCCTGGCATCCTTGCTGGGTTCCACTGATCAAGTAACTTAGTTTCCACCAAATCACCATCTTCTCCTTCGGACTCCCTGCGTACTTAGAGCCAATCCAAGAGTAAAACGACAAAAACAGAAACAGACATACAAACGAGAGTCTAGAGGGGCGGAAGAATATACGCAAGGGAATGAACAAAAGGGAGAAGGGAGGAAGAACCATAGCGTGGCAAAACAGGTGCATAAATAGGACGCTTGGGGCTAATGGTTTCTAGGTAACTTGATTGTCCCACGGGCCGGCACACAAGCCCACCCCATAGGCGCCCCACGGGACGTCCCACGTGTCGCATGGGCCGTCCCATGCGTTCCGTGGATAGGTAACCCTTTAACCTAAGGAATCCCATGGGCCGTCCCACGCTGTCTCACGGGTCCCAGGGGCGGCCCAACCCTAGAACTAACCGTACCACGCGACCCACGGTTCCATGGGCGGCCAACGGCAGGCGCTGGACCGCCCAAGGGACATTTGGGATGACGCGTCCCAAGCTTCTAATTGGCGGCCCAAACCCCAACCCAACCCTATTTCTACCCCAAAGACGTTCCATGCGTGCCGTTTCACGACATCCCACGCGTGCCATGAGGCGTCCCATTCCTATGGGACGACCCATGCGACGCGTGGGATGGCATCGGACGGCCCCCATGGGATGCCTAAACGGTGGGCTGGGATTGGGCGAGAGTTTGCGCCGCCCATGGGACGTATGGGAGGGCCCATGAGACGCCTTAGCGTCGGGGATGTGTGGGACGGCCCATGGGACGCACGTTGGACGCCCATGGGCCATTCTGTCGTCCATGGGATGTCTAAATCGTCCCATGGGCTGTCCTACGTTTCTTATGAGCGGCCCAAACCCCAACCCAACCCTAGCTCTACCCTAAAGATGTTCCATGGGCGCTCTTCCATGCAATGTTTTGCGTTCCATTGGCCATCTCATTCACTTGGGACGGCCCATGGGACGCGAGGCATGGCGTGGAGCGGCGGCCATGGGATGCCTAAACGGGTGGCTGGGATTGGGCGCGCGAGAGTTTGGGCCGCCCATAAGAGCGCGGCTGCCCACGCGTCTTGTGAGCCGTTCCAAATGTCCCATGCGCTTTTCGACGCGTCCCGTGGGCCGCCCATGGGACGTGTGGGAGGACCCATGAGACGGACGCACGTTGGACGCCCATGGGCCTTGTGTTTATGTTGCCCGTGGGATGTCTCAAGCGTCCGATGGGCTGTCCTCCTCTAATGAGCGGCCCAAACCTCAATCCAACCCTATCTCTACCCTATGGACGCCCCATGGGCGCCGTTCCACGCCATCCGTCGCGTTCCATGGGCCATCCCATTCCGATAGGACGGCCCACGGGACGCGAGGAATGGCGTGGGACGGTGCGCCCATGAGAAGAGTGGGGCAGCCCATGCGTATTTGTGGGAGGGTCCAGTAGACGCCTTGTGGTTAAGCACGTCCATGCGATGTGTGGGATGGCTCATGGGGCGCACGTTGGACGCCCGCGGGCCATTGTGCCGTCCACGGGACGTGCCAAGCGTCCAATGAGTTGTCCTAGATACCTGTCGCAAGCGTCCATCGTGCGCCGTCCCACCGCGTCCTCCCACGCGTCCTATGGGCGGTCCATGGGACGCGTGGGACACCTGGGACCTGGGACGGTGCTCGGGCATCCCACGGGGAAGTCCCACTTGGACCCCCAACGGTATAAACGAGTAGCCCGTATGCGTCCGTCTCATGGGACGCATGGGACGGCAATATGGGCGGTCCCACGGGACGTCGCACGCCTTCTGTGGGCGTCCCACGCGTCCCATGGACACGTGGGACGGCGTGGGACGCCTCAAGGTTGCGGGTAGTGTTGGGTTAGGGGTTTTGGTCGCCCATGAGACACGTGGGACGGCCTAGGAGCCGCCGTAAGGTTAGGGTTAGGATTGGGCTACCCATTTGACGCATGGGATGGCCCCTGGGACCCACGTGGGACGCGTGGGACGCACGTGGAATGCAAATGGGACGGCCCACCGTGCACGTGGAACCTCCCTAAGCGTCCCATGGGCTGTCCTAGGCTGTCCCACACGCCCCATCGGGGACCAATAGGACGGCCCATGGGACGCGTGGCTCATCTGGGACGTCGCATGGGCGTCTCATGGGACGTCCCACATGCACTCCCAACAATGCATGTACTCCAGCCATCCTATCTGTGCGTGTGCGCGTCCGACTCATGCAACGTCCCATGGTTCGTCCCACACGTCCCATGGGACCCCCATGGGACCATGTACCCTGCTGTCGTCTGCAGTATCTCGATTGGTTCCAGTTTCTTGTCTACAGCCCTGCGGCCTACACGTGATCATGGGAGATTTTTTTTTCAGTTTTTCGCGATCCTTGCGGTTCCTTTACCGTCGTCGTTGTTAATCTTTTTTGTGTGCAGGGGGCAGCTCTGCAACCAGCTGATAGGCGCGGAGGCTGTCTGCCCCCACGTGAGCGAGCGGCAGGAGGACTTCTTCGTCCTGGGTCTGGACGTGAAGGGCAAGCGGTCCATCACCGAGAGCCTCCAGCTCTACGTCGAGGGGGAGGTATGCTAAACGGTCGTTCTTATTTGTGATGTGCTTCAATCTTGGTAGACTATTGTTTCTCTTCTTTTTTATCCTCTCATGTTTTTGTCTGTTTCTTTGCAAACATCATCATCAGCAGCAGCAGCAAGAACAACAGCTGTTACAGGAGGGCAACAAATGCCTAAAGCAGCACCATCCGCCAACAAAATAACAATGACAACAACAACAACAACACGAGCACTACATAGAGTACAAGCCCCTGTCACCCAGCACAACGCATCTGAACCAGTGACAACGGCAATAGTATTAACGACGACGACGATGACCATGGCGCATCCAGGTGCTCGCGGGAGACAACAAGTTCCTCTGCGCTCAGTGCAACGAGAAGCGGGACACGCTCAAGCGCACGTGCATCGCCCGCCTCCCTAACGTCCTCTTCCTGCACCTCAAGCGGTTCGAGTTCGACATGATGGAGATGAGAAAAGTGAGTGCCGCGGGGACGGAGGGGTTTAGAGAGGGTCTTTCTTGTGGGGTGGGAGAAAACATGCCTTTGGCGTGGTCTTTCTTTCATGTGTTTGGTTTTGCTGCTATGAGGCGGGAATGGATTTACCGCGCGCGCGCGGGGGGGGGGGGGGGGGGGGGGGGGCCCCCCCGCTATTTTTTTTTTTTTGGTTTTTCCAAAAGGCCAAATTTATGCCCCCCCCCCGC